AGGAAATGAATGGCAATACTAAACCCGATAATCTGAAACCCGTTCATAAGAAACGCAAACTAATGACTGTTATATCCAAAGGCTTTTGGTTTTACTTTTTCGGTCCCAGTATTTTGAAATTGATTGCCGATTGCATACAACTCTGTAACCCTATGATCATGAAGTATGCCATTAGTTATAATAAGTTTGTTAAATTCTTAATTAATTTTTTAAATTTATTGTAGACTATTGATTGGTTTTACCACAGACCCTGATGAGCCTAATTGGCACGGATATATGTACGCTGTACTACTTATATTCACAAACATTTTCCAGAGTCTTATCAATGGATATCAGGCACAGCGTATGTCTGTGTTGGGTATGTATTGCTATTTCACTAATAAGTCAAATATTATCAATCAATATCTCATTTTTGGATACAAATTCATGATTTCATGTATGTATTGATGGGTAGGTATGAGGATCAGGACGTGTTTAGTATCCGCCGTCTATAGGAAATCATTGGTTCTGAGCAATCACTCCAAGAAAGACACGACTTCTGGAGAGATAGTCAATCTCATGGCTGTTGACTCCCAAAGATTTGTCGGTATGTATTGAAAAACACTTTTAACTATCATTTAAATGTTGAAATAACCCAATAATACAATAAAACCATATTTTTCAGATATGTTGCCATTCATAAGCTTCATATACACGGCGCCGGTACAGATCGCTATCTCCTTATACCTACTATACAACGAGTTAGGTGTGGCCACAATGGGAGGGCTGGTATTGATGATACTCATGATTCCCGCCAACGGCTGGGTTTCGGCGAAAATAAGGCAAATTCAAGTAAAACAAATGAAACTCAAAGACAAAAGAGTCCGCGGTTTGAATGAAATCCTCAGCGGAATTAAAGTCTTAAAAGTAATTGAATTTATAACTATTGATTGATCACTATTATGAAAACTATTTCATCAAAATAGACCTTTCTCAAAAGAAATAATAATTACACTTACCTTACTCATTCCAATATTTAAAGCTTATTTCAAAATTTAAATAGTAAAACAACTACTTAATTATTAGTATACAGTTTTCACAATCAATTCATACGTTTTGTACGTTTTGCTTGAAATTTTTTATAATTAATTTATACTCTAATTTAATAACAAATATTGTTTACACAAAAAAACAGTTATACGGATGGGAGGAGGCGTTCGTGGAGAACATACAGGCTATCCGTCAAAAGGAGTTAAACCTGATTAGGAGGTCCGGAATGATTAACTCGATTACCATAACACTGGCCTCATGTCTGCCATTCCTCGTATCACTCCTTACATTTGGATTATACATAGCATTAGATCCCAATGGCAAACTGGACGCACAAAAGGCATTTGTGTCCATATCCCTGTTCAATTTGTTAAGAATACCTCTAACTATGGTACCCAATATGGTTACCAGTTTGATACTGGTCAGTATTCTAACGATATATGGAAATGCATACAATCTATGATAGCATTACAGAGTACTTATGTTTTATATTATTGTATTTAACAGACATTAGTTTCCGTCAAACGATTGGATAAATTCCTGAACTTCTCTGAACTCTCGGGTTATGTGACCCGAAAAACCGATCAGAAAGAAGTGGTAAAGATAGAGAACGGGTCGTTCACTTGGGATTCAGTAGAGGAGGTGGAGTCGGGACTGAAGCCAACCCTCGAGAAGATTAATATGCGAGTAATGAAAGGCAAGTTCGTGGCAGTGGTCGGGAATGTGGGCTCCGGTAAGAGTTCCCTTCTGTCGGCCCTATTGGGAGATATGGAGATATGCGGCGGAAGTGTGAACATCAACGGCG